GTTCTTAACTAGGACCAATTTTGCCCAAGAGTGGACATTTGGCAATATCTAAAGACATTTTAAATATCATTACTTAGGGAAGTACCACAGGAAACAAGTGGGCAGAACTTATGGACCCTGCTAAATATCTTGCCATACATACATACTTGTTAACAAAATATTTTCAAGTTTAGAATGTCAATAACACCACGGTTATGAAACTGATGCAGATAGATGTGTTGTTGAAGACTGTGTTACACATCTGTCAATAACACTGTCACTTCCTTAACCAAATAGTATTGGTTGGAGAAAAATCAAACAGAAGAGAGCAGTGATCAACAAATTTTTATATTATAGTATTACTTTACTGCCATCATTTTCTTTCTTTTTCTACTTCTCTAAGTCTTAAAACAATAAAAACAATAATTTTGCATTTTTAATGAAATTCCACATTCTATGTAGGGATATATTAAAGACTTCAGAATAGAATTGACTTGGATAAAGGAACCACACCCTAAACACTGACATTTGAAAATTTTTACACATTTTCCTTTAAATTTACCAGTTGTATCTAAATAATGAGAAAATTAACTATATCATGTAATACTAATGTATAAAATGATCATACTTTTATTAGCAATTTAATTTAGTCCTTAATAACTCTCATTTGGGGGAACTGCTGAACCCAAGACTCCTATAAAATAAGCATATTTACTTCAAAGTTGATTTAGTGAACTTCAGAGACATATATTCTCTCTGCATTAACATTATATATACTCAATTTAAAATGTATCCTTACTCTCTTTTCCAAATTAAATAGTAATCAAAAAGCAAAAAGGTCAGTGACAGTCTGGGATAGGTCATTTTTTATTTTCAATACTATTTGAATACTATTTCATGTCCTTGGTAGAAAATAATTATTGTACGACTTCCCACTGCACACCATGTAGGAAGGAACTGCCCTGACATGGATATCAAATAATGAACTGCTGCCCTGCTCTGCACCTAGTTCACCTCAACACAGGGTTGCAGAGGTGATTACCAAATGACCAAACTGACTGGGAAAAAGGCCAACACCCTGGAGAAGAGGTGAGTCCACCCAGAACAGTCAGCTGCTTTGGGGAGAAATAATGGATGGACCAATAGCACTAGCCCCAAGAAAAGCCAGTGTAAACTGAAAAAAGAAAAAAACAGCATGAGTTTTTACCTGACAGTTACTTTTTCATGGCAGGATAGAGTTGGAGAAGACATCTTGTACAGTGCCTGAAATATTACCAGAAAGAGTTTAGGCATGATTTTGAGAAAGGGTTAATCATGTAGGACTGAGCCACAGAACACCAATATTACTGGAACTTCACTCCAGGACAGAAATTGTAACAGTACCATGGTGACTGGTGAGAGACAGCCATGGGAGAACAGCTGAAAGAGGGTGAGGAATAGACGCAGATCCCCCTCAAATCACCTGAAAAGTTCAGACTCAGGCCAGGAAGGACATGGGATCTACATTCTGTGGTGAGAGCCATGTTTAGCTGGTCTGGCTTTCAGAGGTGGCTGGATCTGAAGGCAATGGCAAGTGGTCTGTTTGAGCCCTAGTTCAATAGCTGTATCCAGAGAGGCTATGAAGTGGGGCCAAGAGGACTGTAACTTGCTGGATTCCAAAGATGGCAGGTCCTAGAGGGAAACCTCTCATTTGAAAAACATAGGAATAGTTTTTCTTTCTTGTTTTAGCCAATTTTTTTCTCTTCTATTTGGGGATGGTGGTATTTAGACTTTTATCTCTTATTTTCTTTTTCTCCTTTTTTATTATGTTTGTTTATTTGTTTGATTAGATCCTCTTTTTTCTCTTTTCTCATTCTTTTTCATTTGTTCCCTTATTATTTTTCCCTTTAGTTCAATCTCTATTTTTTATTATTTGTCCTTTGTTGGTTTATTTCTATTACTTTATCTAGTACTACTAATTTCCCTTTACTCCTTAATAGGATGCTATATTTCACTTTTATCTCCTTCTTCATATTGTCCATTGCTTCATTTTTCAAATTATACTTTTTTTCATGCTCCCATTTCCCACAACCTCTATGCTTAATAGTATAACCATTAAGATTTAAGAATCTTGGCTGGGCATGGTGGCGCACGCCTGTAATCCCAACACTTGGGCGGCTGAGGCAGGAGGATCGCTGTGGGTTCGAGACCAGCCTGGGCTACATAGTGAATTCCAGGTCAGTCTCAACTACATAGTGAGACCCTGTCTCAAAAGCCAAAAAAAAAATGATTTAAGAATCTTTGGAAAAATCATCTTATTAGTGTTTGAACGCTTTTATTGTTAATTGAGTTTAAATTGCTCTGTTGAATAGATTTTCATTGTAGATCAATGTCTTCATTACTTTTCTCATTGCTGAGACACAATATCCGATACTCAAAGTTAAGGGAGGAAAGATTTATTTAGCTCACAATCTGCAGAGGTTTTAGTCAATAATCAACTGGTTCCAAGGCAGGGTGACATGCAGAGGAGAGACAGCTCATGGTGGGCAGAAGGTAGCAAAGCAATAAAGAACCTTAACAGCAACTTTCTGCCCCTTTTATCTTACTCAGACTACTTAGGGCAGGTAGCACTTGCACCCTTAATCCTAGTGACCTTGATCCTAGCACTGCACTGTGAATCAACTGTAGTGTCACACACTGTAGATCCAGTCACCTCTGAAAAAGCCTCACCTATGATTGCGTGAGGCTTTGGGAGACATCTAAACACAAGCCATACCAATCAATATGTGGTTTGCCTTAATGTTTATAACTATAGATCTCTTTTCTATAGTTAAAAATTTCATATTATTGTTTCCTATGGCTAGTCAATATCCAGTTTGTATTTGACACTATTGTATTTCTTGATTTTACTACATTAGACATAGTTGTTGTTATCAATTGGTTTTCTCTGTATGTCAATATTTAAATTGCTTGGGGAATCATAAAATATACTCTGAACCCTTCCCAAATAATTGGGTACTAGACCAAATAAGTGGCAACCTCTCCTCCCAAATACATATCGATGGTTGGACACTGGATCAGAGGCAAAAACCAGTAGTTAAGTGTAGCCAGAGGATATCTCTGAAAAGTGGTCATTAACTACAGATTTCTCTGTACTAGCAACAAAGCTACCCACTATAATTAATCTATAAGCCTCAACACACAAAACAAACAAATAGAAACATGAGAAAACAAGGCAATAAAATGTCTCTGAAAATTTCCAATTCACCCAAAACCAAGTCAGGATATATTGAGGGAGAGGAAATCAAAAGCAACACAGCCAAAATATCTGAGAAGATAACAGTGGCAGTAACAAAACAGATCAATAAAATGTTTGGCAAACTCAAAGAAGATGTAACTAAACAGATAAAGATCCTAATGAAAGTAATGATCAGCAAGTCTAGAGAAGACACTAATAAAAACTAAAAAGCTAGGGGAAAGAGATTCAAATCATGAATAGAATATAGAATATAGCATAGAATATAATTGGAATCCATCAAATGTTCCAAACAGAAATCCAAGAGATTAAAAATTCTATTAAAAGTATGGGTAGTAGAAGTCACCAGTATGAGGACAGAGTATCACATCTAAAAAACAGGGCTGTGGTTGGTGATGTTAATGAGAGAGACCTTAAAAGAAACAAGACAATGTAAAAAAAATGGGTACAACATCTGCTAGATGATGCAAAGAAGGCTAATCTAAGTATAATTTTAATTAGTGAAAAGTCAACAGACAGCACAAAGGGCATAACCTGTTTACAGAAGTAATAGAAGAAAACTTTCCAAACATGACTTCTGTTCTTCTCTCTATACTTGTTCTGTATATAAAGACATACAGAGATACAGAAAATTGTCCTATTTATGTAGATTTTTGTCCTTACTTACTAGAATGTAAAGTTTTTGTTAACTGCTGTATCCCCATTATTTAGAAAAGTATCTGGCATGTATTCCTAGTCCTATAATTACCTGATTTGGAAAAGTGAGTGATTTAATAGTAGTGATTCTTGTCACATTACTATTTAGACAAGACAAATGTATTTTCAAGAGTGAAAGCATATTTTTAAAAATTAATGATATATATTACTATTCTTGTTTCAGATGTGGTCTACTTACATGAGCAAATCACCTCATCCCTGGCATTTGGTTTGCAAGTATTGCTCTGTGAAATCTTTTTCTTTCTATATCTCAAAAATCAAAAACAACAAAAGAAATTATGCTTCATCTAAAAGGGACACCAATGAACTTGACTACTGTGCTTCAGCTCCACAATCCATCGGGAACTTGATGATCTCAGCCTCTTACTGAACACTATGGTGACTCACAACATGGTGAAATAAGGATGCTGAGAGTTAATATCAAGAAATTACAGATACTTAGAGACTGTATCAGACATTTTTGAATAAATTATATAAAATACTCTGTCACCATTGGTTTCGAATTTCAAGCTGCCCAACCTTAGACTGACTTCACTCAGGTAAATCAGATAGGTGTCTTTCATTCTTATCAAATAATATACTTCTTCTTCCATTTGCCTACACCATATTATCCTTAGCTCCATCCTGTACTGCACACTTCATAACCCTACTTCTGCTCCATGGCTACACCTCTTCACATACACACCCTACAATTACCAATGAGTTAACACACTGTGGAACAAATCTTTGACCACTGGAGGGTGGCTACCAGTGAATTTCCCACGTCTAGCCCACTAAGATATTATTTGAAGATACCATATACTTCTTGAGGAAGTGTCCAAAGTCATCCTCCTAATACCTCTTACTCTTTCACATTTTTTCTGTCTCACCTTTGCTTCCTTTATTTTTTGGGAAACCTAGGCTAAGACAGTTGGTAGCCAAAGTAACCCCAAAGAGACTTTCCTTAGCAGAGAATTTCTGCATTAGTTAGTAAATGGTCAGAAGGTGCTAGGTACAGTGATGGTAACACCTGTCATGGAATACCATTATGATCTCAGACCCTTTCTCATGTGGTATGATCAGGTGGTAAGTGAAACTGTAACATAGAGTGTTGCTGTGGAGACTTAGCAGGAGCAATTCTAGGAACCATGGAGTAGGTGACAAGGTAAGAAACTACTACTAATTCATGTATGTGGTTACTGATTTATTGAATCAATCTGAGCCTTGGGAAAAGCAATATTGGAAAATGGAGAATGAGAGCTTTCGGGATAATAATATGTAATAGAGCCAATGTGTGAGGATATTTGTATCTCATGAATTTTCACAAAACACCTCCACAACAAAATGAGATTTCCATAACCAAGTGAGAAGGAGTCCAACTGTAGATGTCAGTCAGTTACTTTTCTTACTCAACCTTGAGGCTTACTCATTGGTCATGTGGCAAGGACAAAGATTTCTCTTGGGTGGTCAAAGAGGCTTTCATCCAAATTGACCTACAGTTACACTACTATGTGTCAAAGTTTATAGCAGCAGCAACAATGAACTCTCAGCTTAGGAGGAAGTCAGTTTGTGAGTACATTTAAAACTTTTTTAAGTTAAAAGGGTGCAATGTGCTTTCCTTAGTGGAATAAAGTCAGCATTGATTGATCTTCCCTGCTGTCCTGCAGTCCAATATGAGAATCTATGGACTGACTAAATATCTTACTATAGTTATTTCATTTGATTTAATAATTCATTTCACAGTGAAATAATTCCAGCAATGCGGCAGTTTTTAGAATGAGCAAGTCTTACCATATAACCAAAGAATATGTCCTATAGATCAACAGAATAGTCATTTGAAGACTTAATTCACTTGGGAGATGCTTGATAAGGTTATTATTCTGTTTTATACAGTGAGCCATATTTTCTAGTCTAGCAGCAAATACATAGCACTATATTTATAAAATATATGAGTACTGAAATGTAAAGATTCAAGTGAAACTGATCCATTTCCAAAATATTTGATCTTCAGCCCTGGTTCAGATGTACTAATTTTTAAGAAATTGAATTGTCTTCCTTTTAGATAGAAGGAGAACTTATATCTTTATATGAGAAATAGTAGCACTGTGCTGCATTGTATCAAATTGTTTTATTGATGTAGTGTTTAAAAGTTTAGGTTTGGAAAAAAACGTGTTAATGTTGAGTAAATAATACAGTAGACTGTGGTGGATATTTATCATAGTTTGGGCCATCACTAAATAATATTATGTTGCATTCTTGACAGAACAGCAATAAAGGCCAGATAGTTGCTTCCCCAAATTTCCCACCATTATGTCTTAGTCCATGCAGGCAGCTCTAAACAATACACTTTAGACCAAGTGGTTTATAAGACTCAGAAAATTCCTTCTCACAATTGTGAAGGCCAGGAAGTCCAAGACTCAGACACCAGCAGATTAGGTGTCTCATGAGGGCTCACTGTCTGCTTCATAGATAGTGCTTAACTGCTGCATTCTTACATGGCTGACAGGTAAAAAAGCCACCTTGGTTCTCTTTTATAAAAGCACTGATTCCACTCTGGAAGACTCAGTCCTCAGGACCTTGTCACCTCGTGGAAGTGCCCCTCTCATTCCCTTTACATTGGCAGTTAGATTTCAAGAGAAAAAGTGTGTGTGTGTGTGTGTGTGTGTGTGTGGTGGGGGGCAACATTCAGACCATGGCACCGAATATGACCAAACTCAGCACTGCTGAGCAGATAAACCTATAGAAGACTGAGTCAGAAAGTAATGATGAAGGTGGAACTATGAAAAATTTATTCTAAGACTGGCAATGTCCATGTCCGGTGGATACCTGATGGTATAGTTTTCACACTTAGCAGTGGTGACTGTCCTCTGAGTGATGTGATGTCTGTATTGTTATTGGCTGTGTAGTTCTATGTCTAGTTTTTGGATCTCTGGAAATGTTCCTCTGAGAAATTCATTAACTACCTGGATTTATCAGATGTGGAATCAATCTGTTGGTTTCAGCCACAGCACATTACTAAAATAACTCTTTTTATCTATTTTTTTCTTTTTATTGAGTTTATTGGTACACTTTATGTTTACAGTACAGTCACATTCATCATTGGGATCTTGTAACTTTACATGACAGGACTTGGTTCTCATTTTTTCCCCTTGTCCCTGCCCTCCCTAAAAGAACTCTTTTGCTCCACATTATTTGATTGTTCTTTTTCAAATTCTTGAGTTCAATTTATATATTCTAAAATTCTGACTCTGGCTTTCGACTCAATGTTTTGGATAAGTTTCATAACTATCATATATAAAAGTCATTATTTTATCCTGTGAGGGCTCCCAACTGATTTTTCTGCATAGGAGAAACTTTTCTTTCTCTCTTTCATTTACAAAGCTTTCTATTTTACAGCCATAATTTGGTAGAAAAAGTTTATAGTGACATATATGTATCTACATGTGACATGGAGACAGTGTATGTGAGCTGTATGCTTTCAAGTTTAAAAAATGTTCTTTGTTTACATCAAGCATCTCTCATTTCTTTAAAGTCAAGATCCATTGAATTATTTAATAAAATTTTTCAACCCCTCTTAAGAATGTACTACTTATATAAACTTATCTTTTAGGAACTACACTTCTCTTTTCTTCTATTACCATTCCTTTCTAGCCAACATTATAAACACACAGACATACACAACGTGGCTTTAAGATTGTGTATCATTTATTCCTTTCTCAAAAGTAAGCAGTAACACTATCCACCTTCATGTAAGCTCTTGTAGATGGCTCCGTCAATAAATGAAATTTGATAATGATAAATATTAAATAAATGGTACTTTACCATCAACAACAATCTATGGAACATTTTTACTTTAAACTGTATTTTCAACTAAAGTAAATTATTAATGGTAACAATCGTCTTAAGATCAGAATCATAATTTACTTGATTTGTCAACAGGAAAATGGAATTTCCGTGTGTCTTCAAACTTGACTTTTAGCCCAGATCTAGACAAATACACACCATCTCTTTTACTTAATTTTATTTGCAGCTGAATTAGTCATAATTTCCTTTTTGTTCCCTTACAGTCTCAAAGACGTCATCAATTATTAACCATTTACTATTTCTCAAAATTCTGTTGGATTTATTTATATTTTTCATTACTTCTGTTAGAACAAAGATTTTACTTTTAAAAGGGATTATTCTTTTAAAAAGTAAAAGTTAAAAAGATCAACTTTGTTGTATTTTCTTAGTGTATGCAGCAAAAAAAATTGAAAGTTTGAAAGGTCCATCTTTACAACAGTTTTATATAAATTAAGATGCAATATAATTTTGAAAGGCTGCTTTGAGGCCCCTAAAATATTAAAATATCTCTAAAAACTGAATCCTTTACAAAGAGTTTGATAAAATGTGGTTTATTGCTTATGCTATGATAAAATTAGAGAGATTTTTTACTTATTCTCAAAATTTTTTACATTGCCATGTCTTCAAAATATACTGAGATTCTTTTGCTGTTGTTTTGTTTTTTGTAGACTTTTTTAGCAGCACATGCTTAGGAGGTGAGCAGCATAGGACCAAATGCTTTCTCTACAATTAGTGATCTGTTATCTTCTACTTGCCTCTGGTTTTTGATTTGCAAAATGGAGGTAATAATAGTTTGTTTCATGAGTTATTGTAAAGATTTAAGAAACAGATACAGGTAATGTTCTTAGATGAAGATCTAACTTTTGGAAGCTTTAAAATAATGCAGTTATTAAAATCATGAGCTCAGGAGTTGGCCACATCTGTATACCAACCACAGTTCTTCTGTATCCTGTCACTTTGTCATGGACAAGTAATGTGTTTGTTTCTGTGTTCCAAACTTGTGTCTTCCCCTCTGGTAAACAAAGATAATCATATACACCTGTTACATTGGATGATGTATAGGAGGAAAAGCCTAGTGAAATACATGCCATGTGGTAGGTGCTCCATTGATGTTTTCCAGAAATTTCCACTGCATTTTTTAAAGCTTTTAAAATATTTTTGACAGAACCGAAGAATAAACTTTGACATTATGGTAAAGAGAAGCAAGAAAATAGCAAAGAGTATTGTTTTTGGTCAATAGTGCTTTTCAGTGTTAGGGAGAAATATAAGCTGCTCAAGTGGCAGTCTGTGGGGTGGAAAAGCATCAAATCAATTGGAGTTGGTCAGTGCAGCTTTGCTGTCTTCTTTATGCCAGTGTCCATTTGGTTTTAAACACCTTCACTTACTTATAATAAGGTCATGCTTATTCTCTTACTTAGAACTTGCAGAATTGGTAAATACATGAGTAGGAAGGTCTTCTATTGGTAATTTTTCAGTTTAGGTCATTAATTACTAGGGTTGTAAAATTAACACACTCAGTGATATTACAAGTCCCCAAACTAACATAATTCATCTATGTAATTCATCTTTCATTGTAATTTCTAGAGAATTAAAAAGATGATGTTTTGTTCTAAAGATAGAGAGCATTACCACATTCTTTAAACAAGCAGAAACCTCTGCTTAGGAAAATCTGTATCATTAATCCCGGCACTTTATGATCAAATCAGTTATGGAATGACTATTGTACCTCATTCATGTATAAGTACCTTGACTGAATAGGCTTGTTATAGACCTGTTACCTAGCAAGATTTTAGCTGTCACTCTGGGTGCAGGAGATGGGATTATCAAGGGAGTTCTCTCTCTTTCATTCCAGAACACTTTCTCCAGAGGCCTTTATGTCTTGATATGAACACAATGATTGTACCCTTAAAAGTAGCCCTGGTTTAGACACTGTGTTAGTCTTTTAATGACTCAACTTGCACATTTTTTTCTCTAGAAATCAAGAAGAAGCCCCGAGGTTTTCTCCTCTCGCTCCTAAAAATACTCCAATCTCCTTATCCCTTCTTCTCTTTCTCTCTGAGGCTTTCATCTGTCAGAAACTCAAAGCATTTAACAGTTTTTAATGATAGTTATCAGGGAGAAGCAAGGAGACCGAGAGTGGAGAGGGATGGGTAGGAATAGTAAAACTCATGAAGTCTTCTCATAGATCTCGGGATAATTACTATGTTGCTTCCTGGGTGGAAAATAAAGCCCCCTACCAACATGTGTGTGTGCTCATGGGGGAGGGGGATTTATAGTCTGTATGTTCTAGCTGGTAGGAGAGACCCATTTCTGCCCTTTGCGGTTGTCTACCATGATCTTTCTGGGTCCTAGGGCTGTCTGTCCAGCATTCCTATAGGTAATTTTTCAGGGGCCTCGTAGGGTTTCTTCTCTAATGTTTACTTGTTTCCTTGCTCTGTATTATTTAGTTCTGATATTCTTATGATATTTGACCTCAAGTTTACAACCTTATCTAAAATGGTATGTGACATTGTGACATCTCTAGACTTTTAAAACCCTCTGAATGTTCCTTATGTAAGTTACAGATCCCTACATATAAAGATCTTTGGAGTAATTTTTTTTTTTTTTTTTTTTTTTTTTTTTTT